TTGTTCATGAATAAAAAATGAAAAATCCATTTGAATGAAAATGAAAAAGTAGATTCATGAAAAGTTTATTCGGAAGATTTGTTGCGCTTCTCCGATCGATATATTGGACTATCTATAAATATTGAACGATTGAATTAATAAAGTGGATACCATAACTTTTTAGGTTTCAGTGGCAAGGCGTCAAAATAATCGTTAGTAAAGCCGGTCCACAACTGCTACATATTATACCTAAAAAAAACAAAACACACTTACCTTAACAAAAATTCTTTTACAGTCAAAAAGGCGCCTTGCGCTTATTTATATTGAATATTTTGACATAAGTTTTAGTGGTGGGGCATGCGCGTCGTCTAGCGTAGTCTTTTGACAATACGTGGAAAATTTTTGGCAAGCCGGTAGGAATCGAGTTACATGGAAGCCTCGCCACTGCTAGGTTTAGTAAAGTGTATTCTACATGTACTAGATATAATATGGGATGCACGCAAGGAGCTTTACCGCAAGACATACGTACACCCTGGTCAACAATCAGCGAGAACCACGACGATAAGCTTACGACTGACTAAGCTGACGTGTATGCCATCGACAAAATCGAAAAATACGAGGAAAAAGATTGTAATATGCAAACAATTTACTAGCAATTTATTAACAATAACTTAGCAGAAATAACTCGCTCATGAAGCCACACACCCTGACAAAGCTACCTTTCATGGTATGGAGATCTGCTGGGATCTAAACCCAAGGAAAACTCGGTGTCCTGAACAAGGTGCATCGTTTCTTCACGCATCACCAGTTTATACCAGTTGTACAAAACACGAGTAAAGTATTGCGTTGAGTATTGTTCACCCCACTGGGATAACTCCGCCAAGTACCTTCTCGATGCCTTGGACAGTTTGCAGCGTCGTGCCTCACGAGTCATCAGCGATGAAGGGATCTCATTACACCTTGAACCTCTACAATTGCGTAGAGATGTTGCTTCGCTTAGCGTTTATCGGATGTACCATGGCGAGTGCTCTGAAGAATTACTCAACCTTGTCCCCCTTCCCCTTTCCTGCTCTGAAGCACACGTGCCGTAGTCACCATTTTACTACTTGCCGTATTCCATCGCGAACTAAAAGGTTTGGTGGTACCTTCTTCCGTTGCACTGCCTCAGTCGAAAATTAGAACTCGCCTCCGTCTTACGAGTCGTGAAGAAGCATCTTGTAGGCGTGCAGGGTGGAGGCTATAGGGCAGTGATTATATCAATATTTCACTAGGTTCCTTCACGTTTGGATTTCACTTTCTGTTTTACATCAGGTGGAGTGGAGTTATCTGCCTGTCAAGTATAAAAATAAGTTTTCTAATACCTTACTGGCATTTCCATTTACCTTGTAGGTACTACTCGCGTGTCAAAGGAATTCACTCTGAAACACTACCCAGAACACCCACACCAGAGCAAAAGTATATCTATGGTAAACATAACATTCATGAAACTAATTTATTATTCAACTCGAAAAATTCACTTTAATAAACTATAATAAAGTAAAAATTATTGTATAGGTTTATCTTATACAAAAAGATATTTTAACCTAATACAGATACTTTATCTATAAGTAAACGTATAAAATGAAATTTCTAGATATCTACGTAAAGTAAATTTTCCAAAACGAAGTTATACTCCATCATCGTGATGTTCCACAGTCCATTACGCTTGCCGGCTCAATAGTTCGAACTCGAGGTTATAATAAGGAGGTTATCCCTTGCGTCTATGTGATTCCACATTCCAGACAAAGTTCTTGGTAAACGGCGATCACTATTCAAAACTTCCAAACTTCGATATGATGCATCACTGTTCAGATCTCGCTTTCTGCTGTAATATGCAGATTTCCTTACACTAAACTGTTGGTTACGTGAATTTTATTCAATGAACTTATAAAAATCTGTAATAAAAATATAAAACATGCATCATACTTATACATTTAACTTTTTATTTTTTGCCATTCTCTTTTGTTAGATTATAAATTTTTTAATTCAGTTTATAAGCACCCATCTTACTTATGTCTATACTAATAGTGTTGACCAAGTGGTATCTAAAAAGTTTTCAGGAAGCAGATCATACTTTACCTATTTAGGCTGGGAGGTATTAATTAACATGACAAATTCTCGAATTTCTGGGATAAACTTCGTAACCACCTATAACTTAGCTCTAAGACTTAGCAAATTATAGCGCTTGTAAATTTGCTCAGACTAATATATCAGGAGCGACGTAATGACTTGCCCACACTACATGAATATTCAGAGGCTCATATTACCAGATGAGGCTTCAAAGGGTTTGTCTGTGCGATAAATGCTTTAATTTCTGCAAGCACTCCATTATTAATAAACTTTCCTATATGAATGTCAGATTTGGTTATACATTATATGGCAGGTGAGCGTCGTTACACTATACGTAATTTGCGTACGTATGTATAGGACGTATGTATACATGAAATTATTTATGATATTTGAGAGGTACGGGTATCTATCTAAAATAATGTGTATGTGTAAATAGTTACTTTTAACATGACTTCGTTATATTATTATAAGGTACCTATTTATTCACAAGGTAGAAAAATCATCTGCTACAAAACTGCGATATTAATCTCCATATTACATGATATTATTAAGGCAAGTTTTGTAAACGCATTATTATAATATTTCGTATTTTACAATAAAATAAAATATGAACTATGCATATGTTCTCATGATTCATGAACCTACTAAGCTAAAATCTTTTTTCGAAAGAAAATCCTTTTATATTGGATCAATACAAAGTAACATATTTCATGAGATTACAGGTAATCAATATTGTATAATTCACGAATAAAACTTCTCCGTTTTTCGTATTTAATCCCCGAAAATTACATTTTCGCGTGTTCCTGTAATGTCCCCAAATACTCTTAATAAAGTTTGTGAATCCAATAAAAGAAATAGTTCCAGCAAATGACCGCAAATTACTTAAAGAAACGGTACAAACTTTGATTCTGACAAAGAAAAAGGACGAAGCAACAAAGTACGCAAACAAGGGGCTCATTGGTTTTATTTGAAAACTTTTAGTGATAGAGGTGATAGCGTTGACCTCTTTCGTAGAATAAAATTAAGAAACAAATCTGGATACATTTTCAACGTATTTCTTAAAATACGTACCTGCATTCTTCTGAAATTGATATAGAAAATCCGATAGTATTTATTTGTACCTACTCTCCGTAAAGATGGATGAATTAAGTGTCAGTGCTAGTATAGATAGCGCAGTATTATTAAAATATATTGGAAAATGCTTGATAAATTATTACTTTAAAAAACATTTCGTAGTCTTTAATCAATGCGACGTATAGGTAATACTCCCTAGTTAGATGTCCAGCTTTATCAGAGAAGTACAAAACATAGGCTCCATAACAAAACGGTTTTTTTTATTTGTATATCACGCACGCTTGTACTAAGTCATCACTGAATGAAGCAACCATATTTCGATACTACTATAGAGATTCTTATTAGGCGTATTAGTCTTATATGTATTGCCTAACGTTATTTGCAGTTACCCTCTACGTAAACGTCCCAGTGACTCAGGATCTTCGCGAAAATGTATATTTTTTTATTGAAGGTATTCAAACTGGCAACCAACCGATTTTCTTTAATCTCGATCGATGACGTCCAAGAAGATTGCTCCATCATTATCAGTTCGGCAATTAATCTTTGTCGTTGTTGCCGTAATTCGCAGACCCCTAGACATCCCTTTGTTAACCCCTCACAACTTTATTTATTATCTCGGAAAGTCTTCATAAAATATCAGCGTTGATGATGGTGAATATTTTGGGACGATGTAATTACTCCTAATTAGAATTTCGCTTATCGTTTTGTTCGCTAACAGAAAATTTTGTAATGTAAATATAAGGCACAGAGCACAGGTTACATAGAGTGCGTTTTTGTTTGATAAATATTTTACCCCTTATGATCGGATCAAAACTATGTTATACTTTCAGTTATTGGTGCTCGGATCCTCGATTATTTCTTTACTCATGGTTATTGCTCTTTCTAATCTAGAGTATCCGTTAAATTTCCTGTTCTGCAAGCTACATGCCCTGTTCATATCGAGTGGTAGCTCAGTATATCTCCTTTGTAAGGCGGATTAAAGAGGCGATGGCGTGGACCGCTGCCATCCATCTCCGTTAATGCTGTTTCGACGCGAGTCGGTTTTATCCGCTAGGAATAAACACCCCGGGCAGTGGCGCATTGCATTCTGAGCAGCGTTGTATTGTAACAAGAGCCTTGTAGGAACACTTATTATCATATTCAAAGTCGTACATTGTAACTAAATTTAAAAATTTTATGAAAGTTTTTTATTTTTCCCTGGATGGTATAACTTGGGCCTTGTCAAAGCGAGAGTGACAAGGCATTATTTGCGTGTGCATGCTCCACTTCATCGTCACTTTCCATTAGGTGAGATGGAGGTCAAATGCACAATTATTTTTTAATTAAAAATATAGTATAAAAAATTTAATCAAGGCTATACTGTCATCGAACTTCGTTCGTATGTGGTTCGTATAGTGCGAGTTAGTAAAGTATAGTCTGCATAAAGATATATGCATATCTTAAAATCTAAACGCATTGGTGACCTTTGGATAGTAAGGATACTAAATGCTTTATCAAATATTAGTACAGGCACACAGATCAAAGTTAACATGATAATCCAAAGGTAGTATCATACTGGTATAAATATTGCTTAGCAAATAACCAATTGTTTATTTGGTAATCTTATTTATCATCATAAGATGATAAATATATATAGATAAATAGGGAACTAAAAGAAATAGCGAAAAATTTATATTTTTTTTGTGATTTAGTAATCTTTTCGAATTCATCATATTTTAATACATAATATCAATTTGTAAAATATACTATTCCTGAATACTGTTAAAATGGTATTACCCATATTTCGAACAAAAAAAACAAAATCATAGAGATTCCTTTGGTAACAACTTTTTATTTGTTATACACGTTTTCCTCAATCAGTTCGTAACGTTCACTTTTAACGTGGAAATTTCTTATAATTAAGTAACAATAATTAAAGCTTCTGTATTCAATACCATTCGTCCTCAACGTACACGGTAGGGTAACTCCTGAAATTAAGAAAAGAAAAGAAAGTTCAGTGTTAAAAAGCAAATTAATTAAAGTACTTTGTAGTCAGGGAAAATTAAAAACGAACATGACTCTCTTATAGTATATAGTATGTATGCACATCAAGTCTATGTGGAACCGCTACTGGAGGCAGCTTAGAGTAGGACCTAAAAAGAATAAATTTTTGACAAAAAACACAAGATACAATTGTTTGAAGAACCCAACGAAATTGAAAACTGAACCCCAGAAAGATCCACATCTTCACTGACGACTCATAAAACAAATTCTGGAACAGGTATTGGGGTAGTCTAATATCAGGATATCAACACCGCTTAGTGACCACAACACAGCACTCCAGGTGAATGTATGGGTACCAAGTTGGCAAAGAATCACTCAATTCGAATACTCTCCGACAGCATTTCAGTACTTCAAGCAACTATGACATGAACTCATTTCTTATTTATGAATGCCATCAAACTTTCACGGAGGTATGTATATGTTACCGGAAATATATGAAATCTAGGAATTGTATACAAATCCTAGGAAATGTATACAATTCCGAAGCTATCTAGGAAATGCATAAAATATTGTTTCAAAAACTATTTGTTACATAAATGTCCTAGAAAATGTGTACAATTCCTAGGAATTGTATACAATTCCAATATCGTATTAGGAAATATATAAAAATAATGCTTTCTGTAATAAAACACGTTGTTAAAATGAGAATAATATTTTTTATTAAAGCACTCATTGCCCAGAGGGACTTCCGCGTTTGTATAAAAAAACCTAACTTAACCTAAATAATCCGATTCGTTTCTGCCCAGAGGGACTTCCGCGTTTGTATAAAAAAAAACCTAACTTAACCTAAATAGTCCAATTCGTTTCTGCCCAGAGGGACTGCGACCCGCGTACGCACTGACAGTTTACGCGGCACTAGCGCGATCGCCTGATCAGACGAAGCAATACCCTCCCCTCGCCCCGCTATCCCCGCGTACCCATTGAAATCTCAAATGTTTTACATTTCCGATTGCTATTTAGGAAATGTATAGATTTCCTAGGAAATGTGTCTAATATAATTTATTTTACACATTTCCGTGCGATTTTAGGAATTACATACATTTCCCAGGAATTGTATACAATGACGGATTACATACATTTCCAGTAACATATACACAATCACGAGACTCGAATCTACAGTGGGTTAAAGGACATAGCGGCGCACGTGGCAATGACGCAACAAATGAATTGGCCAAAAAGGGTTGGAGACGAACACTGTAGGACCAGAACCTACACACACAAATAAGTGAAGAACAACCTTATACAAAAGTACAAAAACTTCTCATAATAACTCCTGGACAACCTTTACGGTTTGTAAACAGGCCAGAGAAGCGCTCTCAGTGCTCGACGCCAATCTATCTCGACAATTTCTGCCGCCATAACGGCTCGTGGTTCATGTAATAAATACTTTTTCAATTTAGGTATCATCGACAGCCCTCTATGCAGAGCGTGCATGGAGGAGGAGGAAACGGCCACGCATATCCTACTACGAAACGGTGCTTTGGAGTGTCGAGGTCGCTCACCTAACTCTACAGTAGACCCAGGGAGATGCCGAGATTCCTGGAGTACCTTGGGTGGCACGAGTAGGACGCTGGACCCACCATAAGCAAAATATGCCCTAGACGACGAATTGCGGGGGCCAGCCAGTCACACCATACCATTTCATATATACACATTAGAACACCTGCCTTACTCTACATAAGGAAAGCAATTGTATTATCTAATTTTGAACATTAACTAATTTCAAATAATACAATACATTCTATACCTATTTTGTGCAACTAACAATAATTTGATGTTGTACTTGCCGTTTTGAACCGCGTCCCATTCGGACCGCGACGTGACTATTATAACGAAAATTTCTTTTTGAATTCGTTCTTTCGGGTCAGAGGACACGAGGACTATTATTACAAAATCCTTGTACTATATATTAGATACACCGCAAAGGTTTTTTAATTCACTCTATGTAAGGTCATAACAATATACACGTCCAAAAAAAAGGATAAAAAATAATTTTTCGTCCATTTTGTTGTAATTTTATTTGCTATTTTTCTATGATCTAGAATTGAATAGGAGATAGTTGTAGTGAAAAGAAGTTATTTCTTTAAGCATTGGGATCTTTTTGTTGACTAATGTTTTTAATACTTATGCGTGCGTAATTTGTTAAGCCAATAAATGAACTCATAATGACACATCCGAATTAACCAACCTGTGTTCTATTTTTGTGTATTTTCAATATTGTGATATACTCATACTACTTTGATTTTCAAAAACTTAAAACAAGACACTATACCTGTAAATAGGGTAACCACCACCGCCGTAGTAGCCGTAACCGCTGCCATAGCCACCATAGCTGCTGTAGCCACTACCGTAGTAACCGCCGTAGCTCTTGCCGTGGAAGGCCTTGGCTGCCAGCGCTCCTCCGATCAGACCAGCTTTAGCACCGAGCACACCTGCGCCGATTGCGCCCGCGCCGATTGCGCCTGCGCCGAGGACACCAGCACCGATGGCTCCAGCTCCGAGTGCTGCTGCACCGAGAGCCGCGGCACCTACACGGAAAATATTTTCTTTTAATATTTTCTTTTAATATTTTCTTTTTATTCTGAATAATTGGACGAAGGTTCATATAGGGGAAAAGTTACTATTGTGACCATCGTACTCATATTAATACGAAACGGTTGACGTTTCATCCTCTATCAAAACTCCTTTTCGGCATCTGACTCTGAGTCAAGAAGCAACTTATCAGACTTTACCCTAAAGATAACATTTTTAACCGACTTTAAAATAGTTCAAAAAGGACGAGATTCTGAATTCGACTGTATTTTTTTGAAAGCGTTAAGTGTGCCCAGGCGATTATTCCATAAATATAAGAGCTATCAGAAAGCTTTAACTGATATCGAAAGTACGTTACCTAATGAATAAATCGACATCAATAACATTTTAAAAGTAAAACTAGAAATATCCAAAATTTTAACATTAAACGCACCTATGCATTTAATATGACATCGCTTATTCCCAGTTGTCTCCACTGGCTTTGTTCCCACTGACGACAAGTGGGGAAAAAATATATATGTTACCAGGTGGTGACAAACGAAATAAAAAAGTCTCCGTTGTTACCAGTGGTGATTTCTAGTGGCGACAAATGGGAAAAAAATCCCATATGTTACCGATGGTGACAAATGGGATAAAAAGATCTGTTGTTGCCACTGGCGACAAATGGAATTTAAAATGTCCCAATAGTTGCCAGTAGTAAAAAAAACAAATGGAATAAGAAATACCAAATATTGTTTGTTTGATTCGAATAGTCTGGACACTATAAATCTAAAACAACAGTTTTCTACTTATTTGATGTAATTTTTGTGGGAAATATCGACGCGTCCTTGTCCGATAAAGTTTAAATATCATTTACAATAAAAACGCTGTTCAAGTTTTTAGAGTAAGCGACATTTGTTGCCGATTTATAGTAAGCGACATTTTGTCACGGCGGTCATGTCTCGACATTTTCATAACAATCTATAGCCAATAAACGCCAATGAACTTGCGTACTTCTAAGGAACATAAAACAAATGATTAAAAATGTTTTAAGTTATAATTTTAAAAAAAATTGTGGAATAAGCATATATTTGCCAAATCTTAAGTACCTAATGGAAAGTGAGCGAAATCCAATAAACTGGTTTCATCCCCTAATTTTTCACCTTTACAGGTGTAATATTTTCTTCAAATTTGAACAGGAGAACTAACGAAACGAACGAACGGACAGAACTAATGACGTAACCCTCTTCCAACAGACAGGAACCATTCTAAATCGGTTCAAAAATAACGAAGTAAAAGAGGAAAAATACGTCGAATTCAGAACCTCCTCCTTTTTTCAAAGTCGGTCAAAAATTATTTATAAAAGTAGAGATAAGCATTTATTTCATAAGTATTAATCAAGACAATGATTGAACGGATTTGGAATTTAGGTTAAATTTGATTGAATTTGCGATTATTCGTATGTTAACATAGTAATTTTTTTATAATATCAAGTGACGGGACGAACAAGTCGTGTGCCTAGTGGTAAGCTACGCGCCTGTCCATAACAGTTGCAGTGCCACTCAGAGCCTTAAATCGCAATGATCTGAGAGACACACGGCGCCTGTCAATCTGAGACTTGAGTTGACAAGTCCCATGGGCCCGTAATTTTACCACTAATAAAATGCAAATGAAATAGCATCGCATAATGTCTATGTGTTAAATTGAGAGCATGTGTTATGCGTTGTCCCAACGCCCGCCGCCCGGTCAAAGATGCAACGTGTCTTTAAACAAAAAATACAATCCAATTGAGCACCTCCTCCTTTTTTGAACTAATCATAAACCAAACAAAATAAACAAAACTAACTGTAGGAGATAAATAGAAGAAATAAATTAGGTATATATGTATAACTTTACATTAATATAATATTTATAATCTGCAAGACAAAAACACCAATTCCCTATGTTATGAGCATCAGAGCAACGGAATTCGCTCTGTTGCACGACCCGGAACGAATTTCGAAAAGTTTTGGTCCCCAAATTTTTCCTACCAGGAAACGGACCCAAATCCTCATCATCCAACGGGTATAGTGGAAACCGTTGAAGTACCTAATATATAGATAGAGTTATTTGTAAAATACCAATAACCTCGCAGGATTATATTACATAACATCAACTTTTGTGTCTTGATGACGACTTGTCTTGATGATGACATTCTACAAAACATAATAAATATATCAAAAATAAACTTTAAATTTTTTGTTGTATGATCTGCATTTGGTAGTAAGTTGTTTATCAATGCCTCTCGCGTACTGCCTGCTTTATAAGAATAATTTTGAAGGTAGGTGCTTTCTTTTGCCATCGCGCAGAGTTATCACCAGCTAGAGCGCCCTATTAATATTTGTTTATTTTTGTATGAAAGTAAAATGTGATGAATTATCAAAAGTCATGGATCAATAGATGTTTATGACGTCACTAATATAGTCCTGAGAAGTTGTCTGTATTTTACTAATAAACCTGTATACAAATATTAGTAGGATGATTTCGTATTTCTTCGAATACATTTATTTTTATTCTATAATTAAAATAAGTTTAATTCCAGACGATAGCGACATGCTTAATTGAGTAGGTACTCAATTGTTTGTGTGCTATTTGTAGTGTTCAACGCAATGCAATGCCTATATACTTATATAGTTGGCATCAATCTCTAATTAGAAAGTTTCGCACTTTGGTCCCGAGGGAAGTGCGTAACGATCGCGCCTTGTATTCCACTGTAGATGGTGTATCAATACAACAAAGTATTACGCAACATCCGTAATACATTTTATATAATTAATATCTTCGTAATCGTTAGTAAAGGATGAAACTAAACATAACTTTAAAAAAAAGAACGGACCTCAAAATTTTGTGGAATTACATCTATTTGCCAATTTTTATTGAAATCGATTAACAGAAAGCGAGTGAAGTCCAATAAACCGGATTCATCCCTAATTTACCACCCTTAGAAGTAGAATATTTTCTTCAAAATTGACTAGAACCACGGCTGAAGTACCCCCTTTCCAACAAAAAAGAATAATTGAAATCGGTTCACAAATGTCGGAGTAATCGCGTAACATACACACTGAAAAACAATCGTATTGAGAATCTCGTTCTTTTTGAAGTCGATTAAAACACAGTGTTAGGCATTAATCTATTTCGTTGTATCGTCGTTTCACAATCGTCTAACGTCACATATGTTACTTTTGTCCTTACATGTATAGTTTTTCGGCCATTATACTCAATTTTGTCTGTATTAATCTTTTCTTTTTCAAACACATTAAGAATAGATTCCTGTAGTCAGGATTCGTAAAGAGATTAGTTTTATTTAATGCTGGTAGTTGGTAGCTTAGTAACTAGAACATTAGGATAAATGTATGATAGGTTCTTGACTTACCAAGAAGCAATCCTCTCTTCTGTCTATCGTGTGGGTAGGTGTCAACCAAGGCGACCTGTTCGTACTCTGGCTCTGATTGTGGCTGCAGTACGGTAATTAAGGGTCCATGCTCGACAGCGTACGATACCGCGCACGCCGCCATCACGCCAAAAATTATTACCGACAACTTCATTTTAGAATCTGAAGAGATGATATCAGTATTTACAATTGATAAACTTAACCCACAAAAGACGTAATCGGATAACCATCTTGAGTGACTAACTCAAAGGACAATTCTTGGGACTTTCGATCAATCTTCCTGTCATAAATTACTCTAAAGTTATTAAGCATCAAATGTTTTCCATTTCAATAAATTCTCATTAGAGTTTTAAAAGAAGTTCAACTCTATGAAAGCAACGTTTAAAAAAGTGCAAATTAAAAGTAAGAAATTAAAATGTTATTATCTTTATCTCTCAAGGAGGTCTTTTAAAGAAAATTGAAACCAACCTGATTAAAATAATAACTACGACCACTCACACAAGCGGTAAAATACTGTCCGGATTACATCCTGTCGATGTCTTTTATAGGTTGTGTATTCAGACTCACACGTACGACGTTATGTCGTATGTATAAAATACCTATAGTCCCTTACGTGGATCTCAGTGCCCCACCTCAGTGATACATCAATAAGGTAGCTCACAACAGTAGGCCAACTAGATCAGGTGTTCAATATTCATTAGAGATGGATATGAAATAGTTAAGGATATAGTTCGTGTGCTCTAAACTTTATTGCTTTGTCGTAAGCTTAACATGATTGCATAACTGTAATGTAAGTTTAATTTGTGTTAAATCAACCACTGTAAAATTTAATTGAATTTCTAATCCTGGAAAGTTACGTAAATTACGTGGCATTCCTAATATTTTAATAGTAGTGAAGCCTTCTCCGATAGATCTGAAGAATGTAAATCGATAAAGAAGGTACAATGCAAATGTTGCAAAGTTAAACATTCCCTGTAATACATGTACCATATACATCGTGTGTACCATATACATACCTTTCATTACTGATTGCAATGAATTATTATCAAAAAGATCATTATTCATAGAAATATAACAAAATTAAGCTCGGTAACTTAATAACATATAATAATATATTTCGTTTAGTTGATAAATTAAGTTCCAGGTTTGCAAAATATTTCGAAATAACAAGCTCTTAGATTTTTGCGATTGTTACACATCGGAAATGACACCATTTTTTCCATCTCAGTCAACCGTGACCATAGGACCTGTAAAGAGCCTGAAACGTTTGCTTGTTTGAAATAAGCGATTGAGATATGAAAAAATGTTTTCATTTCGTATGTGTAACATTCGAAAACCTAAGAATCAAATCTAAAATAAATCAAACTCGATTATCGTATTGAATTTTATTGATTTTACCTACTAATTATAAACCTGTTACTAAAATAAGTTAATATTATTTACGTATTACAACACCAACAATAAAAAACTTTTAGTTATTATTTATAGTATAAAATAAAAAACAAATCATTTCACTATCCCTGAAACCTGTTTATGTTACGGTCTTATTTTTTGGTATTATTGTCACCGAGCCATATGATTACTATTTATTTATAGTGTCATAACTAGTTGGTATGTTAATACTTTAAATGCTAATTTTGTAATAACAACTAACTTTATTTTAAACTGATTTCCTGTTTAACATCTGAAGACGTAACAAATATCTTGTTGACGCTGTTAAGTGATTTGTATGTTCCACATTTAATATTTAAAGTTAAAAGAGACAGATAATGCATATAATTGGAAAAAAGGAAAAGAAAATTATTTTTTAAATATAATGACATACTTACTCATAACTATACACATAATATATACGACTATGAAATCGAACAAAACCATAGTAATAAATAAATGCACACACTCATAGCCTCGCACTAAGGAACCTTTTAACCGTGGCATGGACGTACACATAGATAACCATAAATTACACCCAAACTTACGAGTGAAATAAATGTAGGCCATACAAATATTTCTCCCGGCCCGGGAATCGAACCCGGGACCTCTGCGTGGCAGACCAATATGGTAATCTTTAGGCCACCGAGGCACTTTACTTAATATACAGTAAAAGATAAAACAATAACTAAAACATAATTTTAATCAGCCGTTACCACGTTGGTCTGCCACGCAGTTGGTCGGTCCCGGATTCGATTCTCATCCCAACCTATATTCATTTCTCTCGTGAGTTTGGGTGTAATTTGTGGTTGTCATTGGTGCGGGGCTACGAGTGTGTGGTTAAAAAGCAATAAATGAATGTATATAAAACTTGCAATATACCAGATAAGAGTTTCGATACCCGTAACCGGAAGAAAACGCTGTAAATTGTATCATATTGAATTTGGACAAACACCATTCAAACAGCTAGCAGGGCTACCTTCTTCGATTCCTGGTCCTTACCAATAAAACATTTATTTCTTTATAGGAAATGTTTTGTTTATGCCCGTAACTTATCACATATTCGTATTCGTCAAAAACAAATTAAGTGATTTAAAAGTACGCCCGTGCTTCATATAAATTACTTCGTGTGGCATCCAATTTGCAATTGCAGCTTTTTCTTCCTCATAATTATACAATTTGCTCGTCTCAGAAGAAAACAAATAAGTATAATATATCGAGTGTATAAATTAACACATCAATAAATTCACACGGAGCAAGATGACAAGAATTCTTTGGTCTCTCAATACTCGGCTATAATCTAAGTCTGAAATGTTTCTTTAGACTGTTTTCACTACGAACCTGGAATTCACGCTTAACATAAAAACACATAAATCACATCAGTCAATAAACTCCTGAACTGCAAATTGAATTCACGCAATCTTGAAACGGTTCCTACTTTACGATTTCTTTTTTAATTAATTCTCTGTTATTTACGAGTAAAAAGTCCCGCAAAGTTCGCAATAGTTATCTAATTCAAAGTAAAAGGTAAAGTCTAAGCTAAAACATTATAAGTTAAAAGTCATCACGACACTTCTTTTCTTTCCTGTAACAACACTTACAAAAACCTTTGACTCTAATTACGAACTCGTGGCAATACTTGCAAGTGTAATTGAACTAGTCTGCTATGTCATAGTCATCACTACCTTTGCAGGTATAAAAAAGACTATACCAAATTGTTTTCGGTGTGCTTGAGAATAGTTACTTATATTTAAGTCATGCGGTTGATCTGGGACTACCCTGCCTATGATACATTACTGGAACTTTACACATATTAATTCTCGAGACTTGAAATTTAATCTAAATTAGGCTATAGGTTTTCTGTAAATAACACGATATGGACAATATCTGTAATAAAATTTTAGATTTTGATTTGTTTAAGTCGCTAAGCGTCTTTCTTCTTGATAAAATCGTCTTAAATTCAGATTCGGATTCCAGAAAGTGCAAATTATTTAAATTACCATTCGAATGACAAATTACCTACGATTTATTGTTACGGAAACGTATCTATTAACCTGTTCATTGCCAGCAACGAAGTTTACCGTAAAATTAAATAACAGAATATGATAGTACGGGATACATTTCGCTATATGGATATCAAAAAACCAACTACGGGCTTTACTGTGAGATTTCCAAGTATTTTCTCTATAGTTGCTTTTCCATAGAGAAGTATTAACAATGTGCTGGCGTCAATGATTTACATACATGGAAAGTTTTATATATATTTTTTTGTTAAGCCCTGCACTAGGGTAACCCTGTGTCGCCGGTACTATGGACACACACATAGACAACCACAAATTACACCCAAACTCACAAGAGAAATAAATGTAGGCCACACACATATTTCTCCCGACCCGAGAATCGAACCGAGGACCTCTGCGTGGCAATCCGGGACGGTAACTGTTCGGCCACAGAGGCAATTAAAGAATAGGTATATTAAATCAATATAAGCACTATGGCAAGAATAGTACTGTCATTTTTGTGCGCGGTACAATTTAAGTCCTATCCATGAAAAGGTAAGCATGAAATACGCGACGAATTTTATCGAAAATTTTCGTGCGGCTGCCGCACTGTATGCCAAAGAAGAATGCCGAATCTAAATTATATTTACAAGGCAATGTTTTTCATATAATATCACTTGATATTAAATAGATAGATAGTGACGCATTGAACATGTTGTGCGCCTGATGGTAAGTTACACGCCTGTCCATAACAATTGCAGTGCCTCTCTGGGCTTTCAATCTCAAAGATGTAAGGAGTACTGCCACTGCGCCTGTTACCCTGAGACATAGGTAAATTGACACACGCGGACGATCAAATTCGTCTGATTTAAATGTGCCTTTAAGTTGTTCTTACTAGACAAACAGAACTATCGGAGTACTTACCTACTACTTGTTGTATTGATTTCCTTACGATGCCAAAGATGAAATATTTACTACCTGATCATTACGGGTATTTATACTATTATTGGAGGATATGCCCCATTATCACAAACAACCCAATATTATAAAACGTAAAAATACCTCTTAATAATCAAAATGTACTAGTGATTTCCTCCGAAATAATATCCAATAATTAACCACACGCATTAATAAATAGCCTTATGTAAAATTCGTACCGATTTTTTAATTATTGTTTTGTATCTCTTATTGTATGTTCTCGAGAATTCGTAAACTGTGGTTAAAACTATCGTACATATAATTTTGGCAAACAATATATATACGTATTTTTTCATTAAAAAATAAGCGCCCATTTCACCTCCATCTCACATGGAAAGCGACGATGAGGTCGACGATGGAGCAAGCACTAATGCCTATTTGGAATACATCGTTATACCGTTCAGGAAACAAATCTTCAGACAAGGATTCCACTCCATGGCCATAAATGTGGAAGCGAGACGCTTTGAGCAAGTCCTTGGAATATCCACAACAAAGGGGTGGAACCCTAGTCTACGTCTAGTCCCCCGACGATGGAAAGGAAAAACCGGAATTTTTGTTGCGTGTGTTATAAAACGAAACGTTACTCTTGTCTTGTGACAAACTTCAATATATATATATTTAGTAGCAGTAAAGCTCCTTGTGATAGAGTTCGTACAAGAAAGTACAGCCACTATACCTATTTCTGCCGCCAAGGTTTTAAAGGGCCATGCCATTAAAACCTTGGCGGCAGATATAGGCATCCATAGATGCCGGTGAAATTCCAGGCACATGGGACTTATGTCTCAGACTAACGTGCGCAGTGGCGGTGCCCCTCAGATCTTTGCGATTTAAGGCTGGGAGTGACACTGTAGCTGTTAGGAATTGGTGTGTCCAGGCGCACAACTTGTTCAC